AGGTGTATTGAAATAAGAATCCTCGTTCCTTAAGGAACGAGGAGGAACGAGGATTCTTTCAAATAATAGAATCTAGATTCTATTCCTTCAACTAAATATAAAATTATTTTATTATCATTTATATTTTTAATAAATGACAAAACTATCCTCGTATATCCAAAGCCAAAATATTTTATAATAAAATGTTTTAATATTTTTTTCTTATATTAAGTGATAATAAAATAGCAATAGAAAAAATGAAAATATAATATTACTACATACTAAATTATATAACGTGTTAATAATCTGAGACTTAAAAAAAAAATTTAAATGAAGAATTAAATTGTTAATAAAACCAAACACTATTTTATAAAATTTCAATAACTACATATATACTATAATATTGTATTATTAAATTATTTATTTTGAAATTTAATATTTAAGGTTAGAATATATATTTTTTAATTTTTTAATTTTTATTATATTTATAATATATTAAAAATAAATGTTATTTAACTGTTTCTAATAAAGGGTATTTTTATCTTTGAACATTATTTTTGTTTCTTTTCCTACTTCTATTTCAAGACACCAAATATAATAATAGAATGAAAATTTTTATTTTATCAATGTGTACCAAATATACCTATGAAAATCTTAATTCTAATTTATTCTTATTTTTATTTTTATTTTTATTTTATTAAAAATTATTCTATCTTACCATACGTCACCTAACTATTTGAGAGAGAAAAATGTACGTCAAAGTTTTTAAGCCACGGAGTTTGAATTTGATGCTGTCTTGGCCCTTGCATTCTTACGAGTGTCGACCACCCTCCTATGAGAGGCAAAGATACTGTGCTTAAAAATAGCATCAAATAAAACCCGAAACACCTAGAGATGTGAAATAACCCTTCAAACACCACAAAACCTATGAGTCTATGGTATCAAAGTTGAGCAGAGAAAGGAAGGGAAGTTACTGTGAGAGGGAAAGGAAGGCAAAATGATTATGTGTTTTTCCACTGTTGAGTTTGGTTTAGTTTAATTTTGAACCTTTTTAAGACACAATTGAATAAGTTAGTTTTGAAAAAAATTGATAATAATCAGTTTTTTCAATATTTTAAAACTAAACTAAATTAAATATAATTATAATAGCCTGATTAGATTTTACTTGTTTGATTTGAAAAATATTTTTTAAGATAATATTAATTATATTCTACTTATTTATTAAAAAAAATCTCACAATAAATTACAATCACATATTTAAAGATTATAATCTTTCATGCTACTGTAGTTCTTTGCTCGCGAATCATATTTGTAATTGAGGTTTTCATTTCCCACTGTCAAAATATGAAATAATAATTAAATAGGAAAAAAAATTAAGGAGGGATTATATTTGAGTATGTTCATGAATGTATTACTTTTGACATATTTATATTACACTTTCTGTGATAGTTGAAACTAAATATAATATTTAGAATTGTTCTATTTGTTCATAAGTAGAATCTTATTTTCGTGTATTCTCAAATAATATGTTTGCGTATTATTATTGTTTCTATTCTAGTTAGTTGCTAGAGTTTATATAAATAAATTATGTTGGTGATTTATAATTTGAAATAGGCACTTACGTTATATTTGTGTTAAAGTATATTTGGTAATAGTAAATGTGACTATTTTGGTATATAAATTGTTTGGGTTTTGCTGTTAGATATGTATATTGCCTTTTTTAACAAGTAGGATAAGTTTTGGAATGTTTAATTTTTAGAGAAAATTCTCTAGGATTCTCTGTGAAAATTTTTAGTTTGATTTAAATTGTTATCTATCTTGTTAGGTGTGTTAAGGTTGACTAGTCAACTCTGGCATCGATTATGATCCCCAAGTTAAGTCGTGACATGTGCCTTCTTTTCCATGCAATTGTCGGCCTGCCTGGAGGCCTTTGTTTACAGTGTTTGCATTGAACAAGATTCCCAAGGTCATTAGATCCTTCACCAAATACTTTTGGTGGCCCTTGGCATAGACAACCCGACTCACCAACTCGATTTTTTGTTCTTGCTTGATTCAGGCTCTTTCCCATCGTGATTTGACCTATTTAGGTGGGCCCACCAAGTTGACTTAGGCCGGGCCACTGAATTTTCTGGGTTTTGTTCAGTTGTGACACCTAATATTAACTACGTTTCACCTCATTGCTATTCAACTTATTGAAATTATGAATTTCTTTATATTCGTTCAATTTGTTCAATGAATTTGGCTTGGTTTTAACAAATCAACTTAGTTTTAGAAACGCTCCAAGCTGAAGAAGTCAAGCTCATACAATTTAATTGACAGGGTTAAACTCTTTTCATGGAGTTTCAATCTTTTAGATTGTATACATGATGTAACATGATATAAAATGTTCAGCACTAATGTAGGTAAAGGTCCCAAAGTTGCCATAAGTGATTAATTGGCCGAGTTGCAAAACCAAAATTGTTGATATTTACTTGTTTAATATGATGTTTCACATTCTTGTTTTAAGTTAATTCTAATAATTTTCATGAAATTTTAAGATAAACAAGCATTCAAATATAAAAGAGCCGGTGCTAAATTAGGACTTAATTGAATAATTCCATTTCTGAAGGGATTAAATTGCGGGGAATAAAAGTATTGAGTAAAACATCGGAGAGAGATAAAACTTGAGGGACTGAACTGCAAAAGAGGCTCCTCTCATATGAAACGAAACCTTAGCCGCGGCTACAGTGGTTCCGGCCCTTTCCTCTGCAGTTCGATACCGTCTCTCCTTTCTCCGGTCACAGCAGCCTCACCGACGTTCTGCACTGTCTTCTCGTCACCGACTCTGTTCTCGAAGCCGATAGCGACCACGGGGTTTTCCTCTCCGCCGACCACCTGCAGTCGTCGTCCTTGGTCCACCGCTGCAGCAACTTGCCAGTAGTCTCTCCTGCTGAAGTTCGCAGGTTATACCGGCGGTCGCTACTTCTTTCCTTCTTGTTTTCGTCAATTCTTCTGGGTTTCAACCGCAATAGGACCATCATGACAGTCACTGTTCAACCTTGTTGACGCCGCTGGTCACGCGACACCCATGCTTAGTCGCCGTCCGGCCCGCCGTTCAGTCTCTAGTTAACAACGCTCATTACCGTTTCGTTCCTTATTTGGTTTCTGTATATTTCTTGAGTAAGTCAGCTGTGTTGCTTCTACGAGTGCTGGACTGTTTCTTCTTGGCTCTCTGTCGTTTGATTAATACGATTGCATGCTTCCCTATCTCCATTTTAACTTTGTGTCTCACCCTCGTTGTTGTAATTTCATGTTGTTCGCTGTTTGCGTAATGTACCACTGCCCTCATAGTTGTCCACTTTGGTTTTGGTTGCAGATTTTGTTGAATGAGGATTATGGGTTCAGGGTTCGCAAACCATTGATTTAAATCTCGGGTTATATCCGTTACTGATTGGTTTCACGCTAGGGTTTCATTGAGCTTGTGTGTATTAGTTCAATTAGGGTTTGTGAACGAGTGCTTAATTTTGGATCCTCGGGCTCGATTGAATGATTTGACTTAAGAACGTGTTAATAGGGCCTAGGGTTTGCTTGGGTTATGCAATTCACTGTTGTCTGTAGATTTTAAGTTGTTAAATTGGCATATTGACGGATTGTTTGTGCCTTAGGCTCATAGGATGTTCCTTAAATCTGTACTGTTGATCCTGTGACGTTTCAGCTTTGAACTCCGTCAGTTTCCATCGTATTATGAGTGATATCATGCATTTGTAACCGTTTCAAATTTCTAAGTTTAAATAAACATTATCTTTCAAATTGTTTTGATATATGTTTTAATCTCATTTTACTTTTCGAGAGTTAGATTCAAAAATACCAAATCATTTGATATTTAAATTTGACATACAAGTGGCAAGCATATATGATTTTTTACTTTACTGTACAATGATGCTGAATGAATAACGGGAATATGATTTACGAACAAATTGAAATTCATTGTTAAACTTTGATACTTGAAATCTCTAAAGGAAGATCGAAACATGTTTTTATGTGAATGTTTGGAAATGTTCTTTAAGGGAGTTGACTTTGATAAAATATTGTAGTTAGCTGTAGTAGGTGTTAGATTGAGTGCACCTTGGACAAGTATCCTCGTCTAGGAGAGTTGGTGCTAGATTGCCATGTTAGGTGGACATGGTTGGGCAAGTTATATATTACCTTTGGAAGGTTTTGTATGCCTTTGGGGAACTTCGATCATAGTGTGGATATGTGAATGGATATTATGGAATTGGTTTTGTACTAGAAACTCCCTAAATACTTGGATAATTATTTCATTACTTACTTTTGGTATGATATGTTTTTTAACCAATATTGAAGAAAATGTGTTGTCTATGAACTTATGTATGATGTCTGTCCCTTGTTATCATAAATGTATGCTATCTCTCACTGACTTGTGAAACTCATCCCTATTTAACATTTTCCAGATTCTAGTGTTGATTTATCTCCAGGCCCAGATGCTAAACTTGAAGAGTAGATACTTTTGGTGAGCCCAATATTGAGTGTGGGCATTAGTTTTGTTGTCTATCCTCCTAGGTTGTTTGTTACTTGTATTATTATTTGATAATTTGTAAAAAGCTCCATTAACCTCAGATAGGTTATTCTTTTGTTACATTGTACTACAACTTGAATGTTAAATATTATTAGTATATTGAACTGCCTGTGGGTCACTGCTAGGTTGTTTAAATGTCGACTGATGGGTTATGTAAATTTGGGATTTTTCAATTTACTTGGGATATTTTGCTGAAATTCTTGAAGAATCTCATACTTAGGTTATTTTTGTTATAGAATTTTGAGGCAGGCTAGGGTTGGTAAATTCACCCTTGGAGCTGGTCACAATCCTTGAAATTGGTCTTGTAGCATAAACACCTATTTAATGTGATAAACATTGGTTAGCAGATTCCAAGGAAAGAATATTAGTTGATGATTGCTTTTTGTTTCTCATTGCTGTTCCAGAAGCATCAGAACCAAACTTGAATGAAGAAGAGGGAGAAAAGATGAAAAAGAAATCTTCAGGACAGAAGAAGAGGGATAAGGAAAAGGGTCAACAAGTTGATTCCAGTGATGTTATTCAATTCCATATTGAAGGTATAAGCATATTCGATGTTGCAATTTTGTATTTAATGAGGTTTTGATGTATGTATATCCTTCTCATGTTAATTGTTAAACAGCCTTTGTGTTCCATTGTGCAAATCAGATAAAGCAGATAAAACGAAGAAAAAAGGAAAATTGGTGAGGAAGAAGAAAAGAAATACCGGACAAAATGAAGCTGAAAGTGCCCAGATTGATGGACTTCATAGTGAGGTAAAAGAAGGCTTTGGTGAACAAAATGGTGCATATACAGAAGGAGAAAATAAAGATAGCAAATTGAACAAAAAGAGGAGAAAAACTGAGAAGTTGAAAAAAGCCAGAAGTGGCAAATCTGTTGAGCTCGACAGCATCAGTGAAGATGACTTCAAAGAAGAGAAAGGTAAGATAAAGTTTTAGGAACAAGGTAAAGTTTTTGTAAAGAGGGCTATCCAATGACTTTGTTAAGATTCTCTTTTTTTGAATTTTTGTTGCATTGTAAACTGACTATTTAGCTGGAACCTGGAAAGCTGATGCATCTCAAGTGGAGATTATTAGGTTCTTTCTTGTATCCATCTTTGGGTGATTGTATGTTTTGTTTTGTTTGTTTGTCTTTTTTACCTTTTCTTTCCTGTCCTGTTCGACTGCATTATTTGGGGAAATTCTAGCCATTAATCATTTTGTTGGGGCCAAGTAGTATGTAATTTTTATTTAAATGGATTTGAGATGATACTAAATAATTTGTTCTTCATTTATCTGACTTTTTTCTTTTGCTGCCTTATTGAACTATGCCTGGAATCTTGTTATGATTGAGGCATAGTGGAAATACAATAAAGCAGATAGTTTCAAGTGACCTGTAAGTGCAACTCTATGTGATGGTATGTTTGAAAGAATTAATGTGTGCTTATTCCCACGGCATAGTGTTAGTTGAGGTGTGGAAACATTTGATGATGGAGTCCTCGATTTTTCTCGATCTCAGGGTTTTGTTTCTTCTTCATCACAATCTTCTATAGTTATTACCGCACATATTTTCTTGAATTATTTTGTTTTCCAAATGAGAAAGAAATATTAGGGTTTCTAAATTGAGGTTAACCAAAATTGCTCTGGTTTTTATGTGGTAGTGTAAAATATGATATATTTTTTTTAGGTATCTTGACCATTCATGGGATATGGAACCCTTGTACTTTTATTGGATTTTAATCCATGATAATAATTTTTCAAAACTTTCATTTCTGAATGTCTTTAACTTTGCCAAAGGAGTTACATTTACTTTTTCTCATGTAGATATGATATCTGTTGTGTTATATCATCATGACCTCTCTTTCTTATAGGTAAGTCAAGAAAAGCTTGTAAGAAGGACCGTGTAACATCAGGGAAAGAACATAAATCACAAGAAAAGAAGATAGAAGCTGAACAAATTGAAGTTTATGAGCTATCTTCAGGTGACGAGGACTACTCTAGAGGAATGAAAAGTAAGGACTCATGGCTATTCAAATGCTCTTGTTTCACTGTGGATAAATATTCGAATTTGATTCAGATTTTCTTTGATTAAGGTACTAGAAGTGCTCCTTATCTGCAAAGGCATTTCTATTACTTTTATGTAGAGAACTTTGTGGTAAATATTTGCCTTTGATCTATATGAAATTCACTGTTTACATTCTTGTCAACCTTGAAGTACTTATATCCACACCATGAATTTTGTCACTAGGGTTGAGGTCTTTGCAAGCTGTTAAAATTTAAGTTTGTGAGAACAGATGCATATTATAGACTGGTCTCCTAAATTTGTGCTGAAGTGTGCTTAAGTCGTTGTTGATTGTCGGTATATTATTCCATATTGGTTAAGGAGATCTCCTTGTGTTGGGAGCTTAATCAGAATTTCTTGGATTGCAGAGTGGATTACAGAATACCATCAAAGTAGACCAGGTTTAAAAATGTTGCAGCAACAGATTGATGATTTTATAACTGCTTATGAGGAAAAAGAGGAGCAGGTATTTTTCCTCTCCTATCGTTTGATGTTGGCCTTGTTTTCTAGTCGAGCTGCAATGCAGTCTTTTTGTTCGTTTCTTACCACTTTCACATATTTGTCTTTTTATATAAGCTATATCTGGGTTTGGCTAATTAGCAGGATACTAGTACCAAAATATATTAACCCTACTGTTACTTTTTCTATAACTTTGATTTGACTGTGAAACTTGGATTTAACTGTGACTTTCAAATGATAAAATTCAATGTAACGAGTCCCATACTCGTAACCCATCTCTTTGGGACTTCACATTCCCTGGTTTTAGTATCTTTCAATATTGTCAGCTGTCATTTCTCTTCATAGCCTTGTCCTTTTGGTGCATTATTATAGTAGTACAAGCACATTTACTAGTTTGAAAGTTTGACCTATATATATGTGCATATGCATGTTTGAAATTGAACATGTTTATACAAGTGTATATGAGCTCACACGTTTTGCAGTCTATTGATATTTTATTTTTTGTGCGGTGTACATTTTTCCTTTTCTCTTACTGGCTTTTGCAGCTGGTTTGGCACTTCCCTTATTTTGATTTGATTATGCAATTGCAGGCAAGGAGAGAAAGAGAAGCTCTTGCTGCTGAAGGGGGATGGACTGTTGTTATACACCATAAGGGTCGGAAAAAGACCACCGACACAGAAACTGGGGTAACCGTGGGTTCAGTTGCCCAGGCAGTGGTCCTGGAAAATATGGCCAAAAAGAAAAACAAAGGAGTTGGGTTAGATTTCTACCGGTTTCAGAAAAGGGAGGTTCAGAAGAATGGTATGCCAAATGTCTTGCTCATAATCAGTTTCTTTTCCTATGAAGTGCTGTTGGTGGATATCTTGATTGAAAGGTCAAAAATATGACTAAAAGTATGAAATGGTTCATAATATTATTTTATTTTTCAAAAAAAAGGCTACATGTTAAGTATAGTTTGCTGATCTACATTTGCAATTTAGGAACATGCTCTCGTTTCTTCTGACTAAAAGCTTACCAAGGTTGATATTTTCTTACTTCAATCTAGAAATGCTTATTCTAGGATACTGTGAAACAAGCAAATCTTCACTGAAGTCTACAGGTTCTCGTGTGACGTGGGATCATATCATCTAACATACTGGCCATGCTTGTGAACCAAGTTTATGCATTGTCAATACTTGGTTTATTCATGGTTTCAGCCGTTTCTATATCATCAAAGCCTTTTATTTTCTGCAGAGATTATGGCACTGCAAAGTAAATTTGAGCAGGATAAAAAGCGAATACAGCAGTTGAGAGCTGCAAGAAAGTTCCGGCCTTATTGATTACTGAAAAGAAGTTACTGAGACAAATTCGTGGCCGAAATCTCTTTGGGTACTTTGATCTTATCACTTAAGAAGTACAGAGGACCCATTGCTGTAGCAATTGGAAGCAATATTTTCACAGTGGCCTGATATTGATCATCGAAATGACAAGAAAATTCAACTGCGTGCAAAGAATGTCGTGGGTATTGTCCTTAATTTTTTTTTTTTTTAATAATTTAAGTAGAGCAGAACCCTGGTTATAGCACTAAGATATAGTCAGGCTAGCAAATGCAATCTGTTTTATGATGCTGATGGGCTCTGCCGTGAGTTTTTGATTTGGGATGGTTGGTTTGGGGATGGTGGTAGGGATACGTGGAACTTGTCTGTAGGCTCTTTTCTATACTGGAACTCCTGCCTATTTGAATCGAATTATTTTGTTTCCAATGCCTAACTTTTCCTTTTCTGTTTTTTTTTTTTAATTTTTAAAATTTAAGCCTAGAACTTCCAAAACTTTGGTTTCCAAATTTTCCAGCTTTATATATGCTTGTGTGTATGTAGTTCTAAAAGATAAAAATATGTATATATATAACTGGAAAATAAAATTAAAAAAAGTTGGAGCACCAAACTTTTACCTTGTAAAGAAAACAAATGAGTGAATTTTAATCCACTTTTAGTATGCCAGTCACTGTCTTAGATGTACCGGCAAAGCCAGTACCTCAACCGGGGAGATGGACAGTGGTGTTTTTGTTTGGGAGATTCAGATTTTTGAAAAATATTTAAATATAAAATTAGATCTGGTAATACCAGAAAATTAAATTGTACGTAAAAATATGGACGGTCCTAAATTTACTAAAATAAAAAATAAAGCATAAATAGAAAGAAGAAATCACCTGGTGTCTCTGGGACCATCGTAGCATGATGTGAACGACACAAAATCACCGATTCGTCAGCTAATTGCTCTTTTTAAGTGCGAATGTGACTGGAAAGTGACGTCCATTTATTTTACAAATTCTTTCGACCTCTTATTTTTAATTATCCTGGACTAATAGCTTAAAAATAATTGATATGTAAACCACGTAGAAAAATAAATTAAAATAGATTATTCAAAATGCTTTGTTCGTAGTTTAAGTAGTAGTATTTTTTGATACCAGTTATAATAAGTGGGGAATTTTTTATTTTAATAATTTATTGAATCTATCATTGGGTCAAATAGTTAAATTTAATTAATTTAATAGTATTTTTTAAGAGTTTTATATATTACATAATTAGACAAATAGCATTTTATTCAAAAAAATTTTAAATTTTAACACTACATCTACAAACATATAAATAGAGATTTTTTCATATAAATATTAAATTTATAACATTCACTTTTATCCAATATTTTAGTAAAATATTCATTGAAAATTCTACTTTTAAAAAATATAAATATCTTTTCATATATAAATGTTGTCTAATCTTTCTGGTTTCAATTATTTACAGTTACCATTATAATTAAAAAGTCATTTATGCACTTCAAAAATAGAATTTTTATTGAATATTTCACTGAAATATTAATTGAGGAGACTAAGTAGTACAAATTTAATATTTATAAAAGAAAAAAAATTTAATTGTTTTTAAAAGATATATTACAAAAATTTAAATTTTTTTGAATAAATTAGTATTTATCCTATATAATTTTATACTTACAAACAGACGAGAGATAATATATTATAACTTCTTAGACTAAAATAATTTGAGATTAAGTAAATATATAAAAATTTTAAAAATTATTATTAAATAATTTAAATTTAAATATTTTACATTAAGTAATTTAAAAATTAATCACTGTCAATCAAGTAATTTTTGGTCATTACGTGATTTAAATTTTCTATACTATTAATTAAAATGTTAAGAATTTAAATAATTTATAAGTGTCAATTTTTAATGTGACGACCCGAGTACTATCGATCTTAACAACTTATTAAGTCTGCACCACTGGTCTAAAAACTTAAACTCAAATTGTTCAATAGTAATTTCTAATCTCTTATATATCATATCAAATTTCTCTTAGAAACTGATGTGGGACAGGATGTCACGATCTTTCTCACTTAAACACTTGACATTCTCGTCAAATCAGAAATTCATATTTGTATCCAAACAGAACAAGTCCGAAAATTATTTTGCTCTGATACCATTTGTAACGACTCGAGTACTACTGACTCTAACAACTTATTGAGTTTGAACTATTGATTCAAAATACTTAAACTTAAGTTGTTCAGTATAATTTCTAATCTCTTATATATTATATCAAATTTCTCTCGTGGGACCCGATGCCACATTTAATATCACTTTTTATATTTTCATATGGGTTGAAAAGCCCATCCTGAAATCGACAACTCTCCTGAACATAGCACTCCTGTGGTCCCACATCCAGCGGCCTACTTTTTCTTAATTCTGGTTTTCTGCGAAGAATTATTGGCTCGAGCGACAGACACATGAATTGTGGTTTGGAGGCATGCGGCATTTTTATTCTATTCAATCAATTTCGGCCACTAATTCCTCTCTCCCCCCATATATATATATATATATATATATAAAATTTTTAAATCAAAATGGTGATCTCGAAACTAATTCAAACTTTAGGCTCAAAATTGTCCTACCAATAGTTTGGTAAATTTAATTATTGAAAATATTAAAATATAAAATATTTTTATTAGAGCAAAAAAATTTACCTAGTTAAAATATTTTACATTTTTAAAATGTCACTATTTTACATAAATATATATTTATAATTTATAAGTATATATCTAAACAATTACAAACACATGTTTGTATAATTATAAATAGATATTTTTGACTATATATATTCTCTTACAATAATGTTCCATTGAAAGGTTGAAAGACAAAATTAAAAGAGTATCAATAAATTAATAAAATTAGAGTATCTATTTTTTTTCTAAGATTTAATTCTGTTCAGTTAAATTAAATAATCTAAAACTTTTTAAAATAAAATATTTTACATGAACAGAACAACCCTTAAGTGTAAAAAGGGGGGGGGGACCAAGGGATAAATATTTCTTCTTAAAATAAACATTTATAAATATTTTTATCAAGTGAATGAAGAGTTTAAAAATAACTAAATGAATTAAAAAAATATTAAAAAAAAGATCCCATAAGGGTGGAGCAAGAAAATAAAAAAAAACCAAATAAAGGAAGACAACTTGAAGGATTGGGATTTGTTATCTTGTCTCAAGAAATGATTAAATATAAGTTCTTTCCTGGCAAGTGGGGGTGCCCAACTTGTCCTAATTCTTCAAATCTACCAACAATTTCCTTCTTTTATTTTATTTATAAATTGGCCCTCTTTCCTCGTCTGTGGGTTGTTGGTGCCACAAAACACCAATCTAAAGATATTATTAGTGCAAATAAACCCCTGTTGACGGTTTATTTACTATATGAAATGAAATCAAAATACGACCTAACCCATATTATATAAACTACATAGCTTAATGGGCAGAGGTGAACATAGTTCGGTTCTTTTCATTTTTTTAATAAAATTTTACTGTACAATTTATTTTAATTTTTTATTATTAAAATCAAAATCATATTTTTAATATCAGTACCATTATTTTGATTTTATTCAATTTCAGTGTAGTTCAGTATGATTTTACAATTTTTTTAATCACGTTAAAACATTTAACTAAAATAAAATTATACAATTTCAATTATTTCAATTTTTTAATATTAAAATAAAAACTATATTTTTTGATATATGTACCATTATTTTTATTTTATTCAGTCAAGGAATATTTCGTTACAATGTTATATTTTTAAATTATATTAAAATATTTAAATAAATTAAAAAAAATTTTACAAAATCATAAAAAAGAAGTTTTTTTTTTTATATATATCTGTAATCAATATAAAAAAGTCAATTTGTAAACAACGGGTGAGATATTGCCAAAATTATTTTTTAATTAATTCTGTAAAACAAATCTTTGAGCACTTTACGTGATCTTTCTGACAAGCACTCTTTGCCTTGCCCGCCGCCCTCCTCCCAAACCCATTAATTAAAGGCAAACAAATCCCATTTTTGAAATCCAATTCTGCATACACCAAAATAGAAAATTAGTTTCTGTCTGGTTAGCTCCAAGAAGATAGCTTTCAGGAACTGATTTAATAATTTTTTAAAGTTTTTTTAGATTATTTTGTATTTTTATATTTTTATTCTATTTAAAATGAGGCCTGCTATAAATGATATTAACAAATGATTTATAATATTTCCTTCGATGATCAAAAAAATTAAATATAAAAATTTTCTTACAACCCAATGACGGGTCTAATCTCTTGTGATGATTGGGAAAACAAATGAGGATGGGTACATGCTTGCGTTAATTTAAAACAAGCAAGGAGTTTGCTTGCTTAGCTAGCATCCACATGTGACATTTAAGAATTAAGGACTTTTTCAAAAGGAAGATGTGGCTTCCACATCAGCCTACCATCAGCTCTTACCTTTCCTTGTATATGTGAACAAACCAAATGCATTATTAAAGCATAAAAATGGCGAGATATGGTTCCAAGAAAAATGCAAAGAAGTGAGTATAAGATTTGGCACATCATTCTTAGGTGGCATTTGTCATAACTTGTGGAAGGTGAATTTGAATTTCTAATGTACACAATCACTTTTAAAATATTTAAAAATTTGCTTCTATCTCATACTTCTCTTTATTTAAGAAAAAAATAAAATCAGAAATAGACTTTAAAAAAATGAGATGAGTGTTTTTAATTATGAGTGGTATTATTATAATTAATTTTAGACTTTTTTAAAATTTTTTCTTAAATCTAAAATTATCCTATGAGATTTTTTTAAAAATATTTTATTCTCCTAAATAAATTTATAAAAGTTACATTTTAAATATCTACATTATTACTTTCGAGAATTTTATAACATATTTTACAAATAGATTCAATTTCTGATTATAATCTATTTTTAATTTAAGCTCTAACTTTTAATTTTGTAAAAACTTTTGCAAACACCCTCTTAGCAAGTTGGCATACGCATTTGGGTGACATCCAAGTCAAAAAATTTAAGAAAAAGATGTTTTTTTAACCGTCCTTTTCTAAGGTTGCAAAAAGATAATTCATGTAAAATTTTGTATAAAGATTTTTTTTTGTGATTCGATCTCATAACTTTATAATTGATTTAAAATTTGCCTTAGAAACAAGAATTTGGGCAATTAACAAATATCAAATCTTATTTCTCAACTCTCATGCAACAGAAGTTGAATATGGTAATTAAACTCGCATTTTTAAAATATAACATGTTATGCCATTCTGTTTTACAAGCATAAATTCATCGAGTCATTGACATATCTCATCAAATAAGATGAGAGAAGTTGCGAATTTTGACTAGAGAGCTTAATTTTGTTCATTTATTCCATTCAGGTTATGTATACAACTCGGTAGTGCAACTGGATTGCCCTTCTTGAGTTCATCTCTAGGTAAGAATTGCATCTTGCAGTCTCCTTTTCAACTCCTTCCTGTAATCACAATTGATGTAAACACATCAGAACCAAAAATCAACTTGTTTGAATTTGTTTCTGAAAAAACAGTTTTCTGATTCTCGAAACAAAAAAAATACACATTTTGTAAGTTGGTTTCGGGAACATTTTCAGAAAACAAACCCATTTCTAGAAAAATGAAAGACATCCATACCTCATGAGTTGTTTGTCAAGGACCGACGTAGGTAAGAACCCTTTGTTCTCCTCAGCTCTTCTGAGAAGATAGGGGATAACTAGGTCAACTGGTCCGAATGGCATATACTTGCTGACTTGAAATCCACCATTTCTCAAGGCAAAAGAAAGTGCATCAGCCATTCCATAGAGTTGGGCAAATTGGAGCTTTTGGTTTTCGCTTCCTATCCCCAAACCCCGCGCCAGAGCTGCCGCCTTTCGCCCTGTCCACCATCACAAATTATGTTAAAGCAATAGTTATCTATTTTCAAATTGTTGAAATTTGATTGGGTTAAGTGGGTTTTCAATTTGAAATAAGAAATTGAAACCCAGGTGTTTTGAATTAATTTTGAAATTCAAGCTCTACCTGATTCTACGTTATGAGTTGCAAGAACTGCTGCCCCTAAGCCATCTGCAACCTTCTCGAGCAAGAACGAAGCGCAGTCGTTGAAGCAATTGTGGGTTTGGTCGATTGTGTTGTGAACTGGCGACTCAACCCCGAGAGAAGCAGCTACTTGTCTTTCCTTGGATAAGCAAGCTCCTCTTACCAGCTTAATCCCCATCGGCACCCCAATTTTCTCGGCGGCATCCATGACCCGAAACAACCTGTCTTTGGCATCTTTCAAGTAAGCTTGGATTGTCCCGTAAATGATCGGGTTGTTGTCCTTGTTATGGGCAATAGCCGCGGAGTACGTGAAGTAATCTATGCCGGGTTGAATCCAGCTTTCCTCTGCATCAATTACTAAAGGCAAACTGGCTTCTATGCATTTTTGGCTAATTTTTTGGAGTCTTTGGTGGGCTAAGTGGAGCTCTTTCTCTTCTTCTGGGGTTAACGGGTCTGGCTTTTTCTGCACGTGACAAGGAGGGCTCGAGTCGGAAAAGACTGGGAGAGTGTTAAGCTTCCATGGAAGGTGGCAAGATTTTTCCCTGTATTCCCATCTTAGCAGATCACTTACTCTCTGCAGCAGACCGAGAGGGCAAATTGCAGTAACTTTTACGACTATAAAACTTACCTGCATAGACAAATTTCAATTTACTTTAGTCAGTAAACTAAGAAATGATTACATTGCGTTTTCATTTTTTATTTTCGGCCATTTTTGGATTTGTTTTGTAATAACAGTTTTATGTTTTCTGAAGCATCAAACTCATTCGGCAGGTTCTTTCAATTTTTTTCAGGAGAGTTAAATGAAAAGCAAAATGAAAATAATAGAGCTCTCGGGAGTTTTTTGTTTTTTTTTTTGGTCAAAAAGGGACAAAAACGAGTACAGAGAACGGTGAAAGAGAACAGAGCAACAATACAGATAAGTACAGACGAGATTTTATATCATCTTCATTATGAGCAAATGGGCTGTTCTTTTGCGAAAGTGGGTTGACATCCAATTCATTCAAAACGGTTTCCGCGAACAACTGGCCTAAAATAAAATAATTAAACAAAAGAAAACGAAACTTTCTGTACCAGTTCTTGCTTTCTCTGTTTTCAAAACATGAAATGATTTTCAGAAACAATACCGGAGACAAACAAATGAACATTTCAGGTGTAGATTCTAAGCTGATCAAAGATATCTCCCGTCCCGGGTGAAATCTGAAAAATTTTACTCATAACCTGTAAATTACTGATCTTTAAAAACAGAGCACTGGTGTCTAAATTCAGTTCCTGGCCAGTGACTCTAATCCCCACTTGACTTTGATCAAACAGAAAAAAATATAAAGACAAATCTGAACTTAAAAATCAAAGAGAAAATGAGAAGAATTAGTAAACTCACCGCGGATTCGGGAAGCGACCTAGCTTCCTCCACCGTCCGAATAAACCCTTCCAAGTTCCTATCACAAGATTCGTTGTCTACTGCATGTTCCGACCCATAATTCAACATGGCCCTCAGACCGGAGTTACAGATTTTGGCCGCCGTCCGGCAGGCCTCCTGATGGTCCTCGCCGGCGCAGAACTGCTTGAAGAAGGTGTTTCTCACCACTCCCAGAAAAATTTTCCGAAACACCTCTATTTCCATGAGCCCTGACCGCGTGACCCACGTACCAAGATCGACCAGCGGCTCCATCGCAGCCGCGTGGAGGGTGACCGCTGATCGAAGGAGTTTTCCGGTGGGGACGGTAGCGTAGAGCTGCTTGACGTCGTCAAGATTAAGAGTTGCGCCCCCGATGGGGGCGGCGGCGGAATTGTCAGTGAGGTGAAGCGGGGGAGATGGGTGGGCGGAGGTGACGGAGGAGGAAGCGGCGGAGTTGAGGGGCCTGGTGGTGGCGAAGTGGCGGAGGCGTTGGAGGAGTTTTGGGGAGAGACGGTTGGCCATCAAATGCCAGCGCAAATTGTGATGCCCAGCAGTTCACTTAGTATTCAAAGCAGGCTCTGAAGTGGATAACTAGACGGGGGTGGCCCTATTTATGAAGAAATTCCAAGCCGCTTTAACCGCGTGAATTCTTTGTAAATTTTAATTACATTTGGAAAATAGTTCATCTTATAACAAAATTATTAAATAAATAAAATATTTATGTTCTTGGTAAAATAAATGGTGAAAATGACATTTCAAGCCATGGGATTTCTCCCTATCCAGTAGAGGTGTTCCTTATTCTAAAAACGGAACTCAACTGTATTATACTGTATTGAAAGTTAAATTTTTTAAAAAATATTATAAATTTTGGTGGTAAATAATATTGTACCAAATAATTTGGTTGATTTAATATTTATAAATCAAAAATTGATAAAAAATTGTACTGAATGGAATATTATATATAATAATTTATCAAATTATTTATATTTTATATAAAATATTTAAATTTCTAAAGATTAAGAATAATTTAATAGTAAATTAAAAAAATAAAAAAGATAGAGATTTATATAAAGAGAAAATATAAATATAAGAGATTAAAGGGTAAAAAGAGAAAATATATATACACAAAATTTTGTTTTTAACCTTAACTCTCTCCTCTTCCATGCACAAATCTCATGATCCCCTTTCATTTCCTTCTTCTATTGTCATTTACCTCACCTCACCTCTGTGACATTTCCTTCTCTTCTCCTAATCTTTACAAATTATGGGGCATTCGGTAAGCCTGATAAGGGGGGATAGGATAACTTTTATCCGTGTTTATACACGTTCGGTTGGCATGTAACCAATTCGGATACAGAAATGTATCCGCCGGCTACTGATACCGTATCTCACATTTCTGGGGGGATAAATTTTATCCCCCCTGATAAATTTTCTTATTGGACGGTAATGCCCTTGCTGATTAAAGGCAGAGGGAGTCGGAGTTTGTTTGGTCGACGCAGAGGACGATGGGCTCTGCTCGTTGGATCCGAGGACGCAGAGGTCGACGCAAAGGACATAGAAGGTAGAGGGAGTCGAGGTTTGTTTGGTCGACACAGAGGACGACGAGCTCTGCTCGTTGGATCCCAGGACGTAGAGGTCGACGTAGAGGATGCAGAAGGCAGAGGGAGTCGGGGTTTGTTTGGTCGATGTAGAGGACGATAGGCTTTGCTCGTTGGATCTGAGGACACAGAGGTCGACGCTACGATCCGAGGACGAGGACGACATAGAAGACGACGATGGTAGGCGTTGATCTACCTCGGTGGTCCTGGGTTGAAGACAACGATGGCGGTCTTGGGTTGTAGACGACCATGGCGGTCCGAGCCGCGCAAGCCGGCTGGCTCAATCGAGCGATCCATCCTATTGCATAAGTTTTTTTTTTTTTTTTAATTTGAGGGCTTTTTGGTAAATTACTACCTTTATCCTATTTTTCAAAAATTTTATCCCATTTATTATCTGTTAAACCAAACATGTGGTAAAATTTATCCCCTGGTAAATTTTATCTAATTATATCCTCATCCCCCTATATCTTGTCTCCCCATCCGAACGCCCCCTTAATTGTAAGATTTTCCCAGCCAATTAACCACTTGTTGGAGATTATAAAACTTTCTCCGATTAAAAAATGTGTCTTATAAATCTAATTAAGTCCATGATAATCATTTTTGAATTTAATGATACCAATAAATCAAATATAAGTAAATTTTAGAAAGGTCTATTTCTCGTAGACTTATGAGAATAAGACAATTTAACAGAATAATATAAGGATGCTTTACTTTAACTTGTTATTTCATTTATTGTAGTTAATATTCTTCCTTATTGGTTGTCCTATACTAAATTTATTTATTAGCAAATAATTCATGGTCAATGCAAGTGGAAATGTAACAAAATAAAGTGAAATGATTATTTAATATTTTTTTCTCTTTCCTTTTTCTTCTTATCTCTAAATCTCTCTTAGTTTTAAAATAATAAATATAATGTTATTATATTTAGTTGAATTATATTATATATCTTTTTATTTATTTTATAAGTCTTTTTATCTACTTATTCATTTATTTATTTACTAAATTTATGTCACGACCTGGTAGTCAGATCCGTGACTGGTATTAGTGTTAGGATAATCCCAACCCCACAAGCCTCTCATACTCAGAATTATAACATAACAAAATAAATCTTAACTTAATACAATACTTAAAGTCTGATACAAACTTTTCGAAAACTCAATACATTTATCAACATTTAAAGCCTGTCTGCAATCATTGAACTAACTAAAACAAAATAATCTATCAAAAAAGGAACAAGAACTAATTGCTACACTCGGAAACCAAGTCAGTTAGAATCACAACAATCGATATCGACCAACCTCTCTCAAGTAGCCGGACCCGATGGTAAAATTGAATACGAGCCTGAAAAAATAAAAGAATAAGTCTACCGACTCAATAAATAATAATGCGTATTTACACTACAAGAAACATATATCAAATCCTTTTATTACAAAATATGATTTATGTCCACTTATACAAACTTAGAGAGTTTCGTAGTAGAAAACCGAATAGATACCTATATAATAAGCTTATCGTGTCAGATCCATGAAGTAGTTTAGCACCACTCCTGTTAAACTGGGGATACATGTCAGTTATATAAACTTATCATGTCAGATCCACGTAGTAGTGTAACTCTATCTTTGCTAGATTGGGGATACAGGTTAGTTGTACAAGCTTATCATGTCAAATTTACATAGTTATCTAGCACCACCCCTGCTAAACTGGGGGTACAGGACAAGCAATAGTCTAACAGTTTGATATTCCTTAAAACTATTTTTCTAGAATTCAATAGGAACAGTTTACAATTTGTCCAACATAATAGTAACAAAAATCATTTTGCAGAATTTCAATGTTTCAAACATATCAATAATCAACATCAAAAGTTTAGAAATTTTAAAACAAATTGAAAAATGACATGTACATTCCTTGTAAACTTTTATAACATATTAAATTCAATTTTGAAATAACTGAATTTATAAACACTTTATGTAAAAACTCATCATTTAACAAATATAGAAAACAACAAAGCATATAAATATGTATTACTATTTACAAACACTGGAGAATCACGAAACTCGAGTTTCGGCACTTCGGCTTCACGAGAGTCAATCACTTAATTTAGAAATAACCAAAATTCTTATTTTAGAACATAATTCGTCTCATACTTAACTTAAATTCAAATTCCCATCAAAACCTTACTATTCTCTTAGGTTTCGTGTTCAAACTTATATCGAGAATTCTTAAAGTCCTGAACTGATCACATAATTCACATCCTAAGTATTAAATTTTTGAACCGGGCTCATAAAACAATAAACTTGTCTAATTATCCTATAAACCAATCATTTAAATGCTAAACCAGTCTTGAACCGGTCACTAGAAGGTTAAACTGATCATGAACTGGTCAAAAAACATTAAACCGAACCTCAAACACACTTAACTAGACATGAAACCTATTGAATTGGTGATAAAACCACTAAACTAGCCAATAAACCCATCGAACCGGTAATAAAACCCATTAAACCGGCCTTAAATCCATTAAACTAGCTATAAAACCCACTAAATCGGACTTAAATCCACTGACTAGCCATAAAAGTCACTGGACTGAACTTAAAACTACTGAATCGGTTAGAATTCACCTTGAACTGGCCTTAAAAATGTTGAACCGGTGGCCTACTTATTTTCTTCTTTAATTGTTAACACTAAACCAGCTAGTTCACCCTTGAACTGGCCAGGTTACCATTGAACTGGCCATGAATCAGGTGGAATATTTAATTTCCTTCCTAATAGTGCCTTAAACTAGTCGTGAACCAATTCAAAAGTCCTTGAATTGGCTGTTTCTTTATTTTCTTTATAATTTCTAAATTTCTATTATTTATTTATTTTTCTAATCAGTTACCGGGCCGGATTTGGAATTCAAATCTGGTCCCATAACCTAGACTCATTTACTAGTCTAGCTTTGGCCCACTGGCCATGGCCTAAACCCATTATTTTTCTATTCGGCCTAGAACCATCTGGGTCGGTCCAACACTAAAATCCCTATCCATCTAATGGTCAACCCATGGCCCACTTTTAGCTAGACTTGAAATGAAACCGGGTCAGTTCTTCCTGACCCGTTAACTATAGAAAAAGCTGAACAACTAGATTTAACAAATTACCTGAAATCTCAGCCAAAATTTGAGATAATTTGCTTGGACAAGAGCCAGAATGCCTAGACAACGCAATTGGATCAGTTGAATCGAGCAAACTAGCTTTCATTTGCCCAAATTTCCAATTAATTTGGTTCGATTGTTGTGGATAGCTTCTGGATTGAAATAGAGAATTTTACCTAATTTAACATGAGTTTTTCTAAAATTTTTATTGGGGCTTTTGTAGATCTGCTTCATTTGACCGAGTTTATAAAGAACTTTTTAATCGAAACGATGGAATTAATCATGGATTTAAGTTTGTAATTCATGGATCTGAACGTTACAGACGTTCGGATCGAACTTTCTAATTTTTATGATTTGGTCACCATAAATTCTTTAATTTTTTTTTTCTAATCCCTTAATTTCCTAATTCTAATAATTACACCCTCAATTAAAACTTTTAAATTTTTTTTGGGGTTTTACAATTAAAGTCATTTCCTTAACTTTGTATACTTATTTATCCAAAAGTATTTATACTCATTATTTCAGATTATTTGATTTGATTGGTTGGAATAAAAATAACTTAATCCTAAAAACCAAACCGTACCGAAATTGAACAAAATTGAAGGGATTGATATTGGTATCAAAAAGTGTAGTTTTGGTTTTAATTGTAAAAAATTGAATAAATTAGTATGGTATAAATTTTGTAGAAAAAATGGAAAAAACCGAACCGTGAACCCTTACTATCCCAGGTGGAATA